ACTAAGGATCTAAGTAATTTGAAGCCAAACTCCTCTGTTTCACTTTTAACAGAGCAGTAGGCTTATAAGAATATTGTTGGAATATTGTTCTGTCTTGGCCAGTTTAAAAATTTCAATCTGTATATATTTATGTACCTTTCTTACAAATCAGTTTCTAGATCCAACATTATAAAGTAGGGGCATTAACTTTTCTTTTTTTCAATATTTTTAAATTTTATTGTTATTTCTTCCACTATGTTAGAACAGACAGTAATTGAAAAAACAAGTAGGCATGTGAAAAATTAATTATTCCTTTATTTTTGTATAAAAGGTTTACTGTCAAAATACTGCAGGATGTTAAATCTAGCATATTAGGTCTGCAAACTTTTGCTAAATCATGCTTCATAACATTTTATGATTTTGAAAAGCAGACCGTTAGGTGGCAAAGATTTCAGTATTTGGCAAAATGAAATAAAAGTTGGAGCTATTTTTTCTGTTTTTTGTTTAAAAATCTAAGGAAAATCAGTCTGTTACTAAAAGAACCGTTTTGCGAAGCGCGGACCCAGCTGTCAAAATCGTTGTCTTGAGAAAAACCGTCCTAAAAAACCCATCTTGCCAAGTACGGACTGAAACATCGTCTAGCGAAAATCGCCCATAGGGAAAACCGTTTTGCGAAGTGCTATAGCAGTCACAAAAACCCATCATTTTGCGAGGTAATTGTCTAGCGAGGCACCACTGTATATATAGGATAAAAATGGATTTAGACCTCACTTTTGGTGGAGGTATTCTGAGAAAAGCTGGATTTCCTTTATGTGTATTAAGATTCTTTTGAGTACTTTAGGATGTAAATTTAAGATGAAGTGGTGGTTGTACAGCATGCACCTATTTTTTGTGATGATAGGTTTTGTGATATGTGACATCTCCTTGCTTTGAATCAGAGTTACCCATTGCTTCGTATTAATACTTGTATAGTCTTAAGCGGGTACCAACTCTGACCTGGCTTTGAACCCTAGTGCTAAAAGCAAAGGGTTATATAACTCATTATTCAGTCTCTTCTGTGCATACAATTAATTAAAAAAAGAAAGTGATGCAGCTGACTGGAGACTGGGGTTAAGAGATTGCATGTACTATCTGAAGAGGTGATGCAGAAAGAGAAATGGAAGCAAGAACACCGGGGTAAAGAGTGGGAGTCCCTGAGAGCCTGTTTTTTTGCAGCAAGACGCAAACTTCTTTTTGTATGTTGTGAGATGGATAGATCTTTAGAGGCCATTGGAATCTGGAGGTGCCTCCAACAGCCTCCCTGACTTCTCTGTGCTTATCTGCCAGTGATCGCTGCTCCGGAAAAGGGAGCAATTAATCCAGGTCAAACTCCTAAATGGCCATTTGTCATCTTGATGTGTAACTAGCTACATTTCCTTTTTCAGTGACCACTTAGTCCAGATCATGGTTATGTGTTTCCTTCATTTCCTGCCATTGTCCCTCCCTCCGCATTTTCCCCCTGCACCTTTCTTAGAAGTGGAGGACAGCTGATGCTGAGGCTTTACTTTTTATTCTATGGAGAGAAGGCAAATGAAGATGAGGAGCATGTCTTTGGGAGCTGTTCAGATGAGACGTCTGAAGAGTTATAGAGTTTTGTTCATATGATGTGATCCCATCACATTTTACCATATTGAGTGTGAAGTACCATGTGAGGCTACAACTCCGTGGTCAAATACTGCGAGATTTGCTGTGAATGTAAAATGGGTGAATTTGTTTTTGTTTTACTGATCACATGACATAAAGGCCAATTTGAATCAGTTTGGCTGTTTTTGCTCTTAATAGTTCTGCCCCCGCCCCACCCCCACTGCTGAGGGCTTCTTCTTTTTTCAGCTGGAGCAATTCAAATTGAATTTTCCCCATATGATCAATTGTTTCGCTCTCCAAAAGAATGAAAAATGTTGACTGTATGTGGTGGTATTCTGATGACGTACTAAACTGGGCATGATGTTTTGGACATTGGGAAATACTGCCCCATGATCTTTCTCCCTAGTCACCTTGAAGTATATATTTTATTTTACATCTACTAAGTGTAGTATATCATTACACTGATATGCTAGGTTAGTACCAGATTACCTCCACACAGACAAAAAAGGATTAAAATTGATACAAAAGAGAAACAACTTTGACAAACTAGAGCAGACTACATGTTTCCGTAATATATTTGTATGTGTTTGTATTTTACGGAGAATTTTGGAAAACTTTTCCCTTTTCCCTAGTGATATCTCGCCTAGTGAACATTTACTGGCAGGGCTTTGTTGGATTTTCCGTTCTGTAGCTTGATTTCCAAGCTATAATCTTTCAGCAGTTAGTGAACTCCCCAAATCCTGTTTGGAATCACAGGAGAGACTTGATGACTGAGCACATGTGATGTTTCCCCCCAGATTTTGGGGAAATCCCACCTCCCCAGGTCCCTAATCTGCTCCTTTTTTGAGATGTTAGCACAGGATTTAAGGACTGTCATTTCATGAAATTGAAAAGGATAACACAGTATATTTTAACAGCCTGTAACTTGTGGTATATATGAGCCTATTTGGTGCAGTACTTAAAGCATTGAATATTCAGTGGTGAGACTCATATTCAAATGCCCACTCGGCTGTAATTGTAAAGTTTGATTTAGTTACACTCTGTCAAACAAATCTACCTTGCAAGGTGGTTGTGAGGATAAGAGCCGAGCAGGAAACCAGGTATATATACTTCTTTGGACATTTCAGTGGGAGGATGGGCTCTGAATGCAATAAATGCGCAACCTGTCTTCCTCATGTTTTAATCATCTATGAAAGTAGAGGATAATGGGCCAAATTCATTTGTCAGTCCTTCCTGTTGAAAAAAGTGGGATTTGTTACTCATAAATAACTTGTCCCATTGATTTCAATCTGTTTACTCCTACTAGGGCTAAGGTCGGTTATTAAAACTAACATTAAAGGTAAAGGTAAAGGTTCCCCCTGACATTTAGTTCAGTTGTGTCCGACTCTAGGGGGTGGTGCTCATCCCCATTTTCAAACCGTAGAGCCAGTATTTTGTCCAAAGACAGTTTCCGTTGTCACGTGACCAGCGCGACTAGACACGGAATGCCGTTTTACCTTCTCACCAAGGTAGTACCTATTTATCTACTCACATTTGCAAGCTTTCGAACTGCTAGGTTGGCAATGAGCTGGGACAAGCGATGGGAGCTCATTCCCTCGCGTGGATTCGATCTTACAATTGCTGGTCTTCTGACCCTGCAGTGCAGAGGCTTCTGTGGTTTAACCCGCAGCGCCATGTCCCATTACTTGGATTAAAATTGAGGACTTTCTGCATATTTAACAATGATTATCAAGCTGCTCTTTTTGAAGATTTTGGTCAATAGTTTTGTATTCTTACAGTTTTAAGAAACTAATAATTGTTTAGTTAATTTTTAATTATTAGCAATGTAGTATTTATATATTTTTTTAAAAAGTAGGTTTGCCAATGCATTGACCATGATCCCGAAAGAATGTAAAGCCAGTCAGAGAACGAAAGAGGGGAAAGGCAAGGTGTTTTTTTAAAATCTAAGATTCTTAGAAAATCTCATGATTTTGGCAGAAGACGAAACTAATTATTATTTAGGATGTAGCATTGTTGAACCAGATTCTTGGAATTTCTAAATAAAGGTGTTGTTTTTAGCCCTATTGTTATTGTTACTTCCTCTTTTCTGCTGACCTAACCCAGCACTGTGGTGTTGCACATATCTGGGCTAATACAGGAAATGACTGGATGGGCCAATACGGAGGCCTTCCTTCCTGGCCTGAGATGAAAATACAATGGGATTGAGACAGGGAGACATGTACAGTCTGGTGAAAAGAACGACTTATACTGGATATAGCATGAGTGACAAGAAATAAGGGCTATGTGCCAAAAATCCTAGAAGGGAATAGGAATTTGCTGCTTGTTTCTACAGTAGCAAAGAGAACCTGCTGCCTGATTGGAGGTAGTATGAAGAGAACTGGGTGAATAACTTTGAAGACAAGCAGGAATTGTCTGGTTGAAGAAAACCATAAAGGGATACGTCTATTGGTCAATATAACTGTGTATAGAATTGGAGTCCGTGAATGATGTCAGCCTCTGGAGAGTGAGAAAACCCCAGTAGTTCACCCCAGTACATGTTGTTGTTGTTTAGTCATTAATTCATGTCCGACTCTTTGTGACCCCATGGACCAGAGCATGCCAGGCCCTCCTGTCTTCCACTGCCTGTCGGAGTTGGGTCAAATTCATGTTGGTAGCTTCAGTGACACTGTGCAACCATCTCGTACTCTGTCGTCCCCTTCTCCTCTCGCCTTCACACTTTCCCAACATCAGGGTCTTTTCCATGGAGTCTTCTCTTCTCATGAGATGGCCAAAGTATTGGAGCCTCAGCTCCAGGAGCTGTCCTTCCAGTGAGCACTCGGGGTTGATTTCCTTCAGAATGGATAGGGTTGTTCTCCTTGCAGTCCAGGGGGCTCTCAAGAGTCTCCTCCAGCACCACAATTCAAAAGCATCAGTTATTCGGTGGTCCACTTTCTTTATGATCCAGTTCTCACTTCCATACATCGCTACTGGAAAAACCATAGCTTTGACTATGCGGACCTTTGTCGGCAAGGTGGTGTCTCTGCTTTTCAAGTTGTTGTCTAGGTTTCTCATTGCTTTCCTCCCAAGAAGCAGGAGTCTTTTAATTTCGTGGCTGCTGTCACCATCTGCAGTGATCACAGAGCCCAAGATCTGTCACTGCCTCCATAGCTTCCCCTTCTATTTGCCAGGACTGTACATCTCCAGGAGTCCTCTGTGTGTGTTTGTGTGGGTGGGGGAATTGGACTCCAGACCCATTTCCTTTTGCATCACAATATACACTGACCTAGATGGCTGCCTTTTCCTTCTCCTGCCATCCCTCCCTTGTAGTCCTACAAAGAAAGGAACATAAAGACGATGTTAAGCCTTCTTTAAATGTTTTCTGAAGTGAAAATAAAGTATCATCACTCTTTCTTTTCCAGACGGAATGTGCCAACTATATCAGAGTCCTTTACCCTTTGAATCGGACACACCTCTTTGCCTGTGGAACTGGAGCTTTCCACCCCATCTGTGTCCTCATCTATGTAGGACACCGAGGAGAGGTAAGAAAGGATGCATGGAAGTTCTGAGGTATCAATAAAGAGTGATTATAAATTCAGTTTTAGTTCACAGTGAGATGTCATGCAGCCAGCCCCCACGTTCCGCACTGAAGGATCAGACCTCTTCAGTGTAATAGCCATAGAATTTTCCATAACAGCATTAATAGGTATCATCTCCCACAATACTCTATAAGTGGTGTCAGATATTTTTCTGTTAAAAGAGATACGGACATTTGAATCAGCCTGTCTGTTTATTATGGCACAATGAAAGGAGGAAGAAGGGAGGTTTGATGGTGAGGAAATGCAAAGTTAAATAGTTCAGAGCCATTTCTTGTAGGCAATTTTATTGTTTATCCTTTGATAGTAGCTGCATTATAAGCCCAAGCCTAGTTTCTCCAGCACTTGCTTAAACCTCTTCTTTCCTCTTGCCAAAGCGGCTGTGAAACTGGAGACTTCTATTTTAGTTTACCCTATTTTTCCGTGTATAAAATGATATTTTCCCTTAAATAATTAGACAAAAAAAATTTATACACGGAAGGCAGCAGCTTTCCCTGCCTTTTGTGAAGTCACAGGGCTTATCAAAAAGGAAGGGAAGGCTCCTTTTAGGTAAAGCAGCTGTGAAAGGGCTGCACGACCGCAGCTCTTTGATCCTGAAGCCCTTTCATGGCCACTTCAGGAGGAAAGGGCTGCGATTATGCAGTCTTTACCCAAAGAGAGCCTTCTCCTCCTTTTTGCTAAGGAAAAGGCTTAGCAATAGGAAGGGAAAAGCAGGGATCAAATTTTCTACTTTGGGGTTAGAAGAGGGGGGGTTGTCTTATACATTGCGTCGCCTTATAAACGGAAAAATATGGCAATCCTGGTTGAACATGTCATCCATTCCTTAAACGTGATAATATGTTTATTTAATTTTGAGTAATTGTTCTGTTTATATAATTATGATTTAATGTTTCTTCTTTTTGTTGTGAACCGCCCAATAGTGGCCCGGGTAGCACTATATAAATTGAATAATAAATAAAATAAATCAAACTGTGGGGAATTATAGTTGAAAACAAGCCAACGTCATAAACAAAGGATTGAAGCTGGCTTGTTTCCACAGATTGGTAGTTAAAGTGAACTGGATATTGTGGATGGAAGTAAACAAGCTGTGGTTAATCAAAAATTGAAACAAATCTTTCCACATTCATCACCCTATTGAAGGAAGGGAAAGTGTGTGAGCATGGAAATGACTAGGCTCGTTTTCATAATGCTAAAGTGCACTTTAGTGTTCAATCCAAGCCAGCCTGCTTTATCAAAAAAGGTTAAATAAACTACTACAAAGAAGCACTGAAAACATGAATGCTGCTAGATTATACCCTAGATGATATTATCCAGTATCTTCTTTCCCACAGTGGCCAGTGAAGCAGGATATTGAAATACATAGCCCTCTGGTTTGATTTAGAATTTTTAAAAAAATGTTTTTATATATCATAGTCCAACTCATTCAATAAATGCTCTGTCACAGGTTGAAAGATAAGAGCTTCTGCCAACGAGGACCATAGGAACTACTTAGCTTTGCATTTTCTCAACATAAAATCTTCCCTCATCCTACATTTATAGTGTCATGCGAAATTCAGAGAGGCTAGTTTAAGTGCTCCTTTCTTAAATTGGAAAAAAGAGAGCTCTTTGTAGTTCAATAAACTAGTTTTTAAGGTGCACTGCACTTAGTCTTCTTGTTGGTACAAGTCAAGATGGCTGGCCTTGTGGAATTTGTCCAAACTCACAAGCATCTAAGAAAGAAATGAATTTTGGAGCTATTAAGCTGTCAGGCTAAATGATATATTGTTCCACTGCCTATCTGCCCCAGCCAGTATCAGTTATTCTTTCTCCTTTCTTTCATTTTTTTAAAGAAAAGGCCTTTTGGATATGCATTCTAAGCATAAGCTGTCAGCCCCAGGTGGTACTGAAGGGAAGGGGGAGTGAAAAGGCTGCACAAAAAAAATAAAGCTTAAAATGGAATGGTGTCCAAAAAGAAGAGAAGAGACCAATGAAATTGAGACCTAAACATTGTCTAGATTAGTATTAAATCCATTGGTCTCTTTGCTTCTTTTTGGATACCATTCCATTTTAAGGTTTATTTTCTTTATGCAGCCTTTTCACTCCTCCTTCCCTTGTCCTTTTTGCAGTTGCAGGGGGAGATACATCAGTATCAGCTACATTGCTTCCCCAGGCCCCGAAATGAAGACACAAGGCAACAATTCTTGGATTTAAATATGGGCCACACTTTATTGAACCAGATTAAATGCCACCAAATAAAACCAATTCCAAAATTGAGGGGGCCTGCGGTAGTGCGGGGAAATAACGCCAAATAATTCCAAATCAGTCAATGGGCGAGTCCCAGGCCCCAGGTTCCAACTGTCTAACGACCGGAGGAACCTGGAAGGCCTCAATTAAACACCCCGAACCTCTAGCCATTACTTCTAAAATCTATAAAACACAAAGGTGAAGAGAAGTTATCAGAGATGGCTGCAGCCGTTACATGAAGAGAACTACTATCAATGGGCTATGAAAGATCAGTAATGCCTAAGAGAGAAACATATTGAGAAGTAGAGTAACTAAGGGAGTCTGTTGGGATGATTTGAGAAGAGATTAAGGGAGTAGAGGACAATAAACCAGGCAACAAATATTCAGGCATACTTAAGAGAAAATAACCAAAATTCATACATGTTTTTAAAAATTGTGGCAGAAAGAGAACCCGACTACGAACCGACGCTATTAAATAGCGCCGGTTCGCGCCAAAAAGGGGTCACATGGCCCATGTTGCTTGTCTCCTCCGAGGCCGGTCAAGCAAAAGCGCAGCGCAGTTCAATTGGGCCGTTGGCACCATTCCTGCACGCGCACACTTCTTTTAAAACATAGCTCAGCTGTCTTATGTATGAGCTTATAAACACACAGGAGACTAACTTCATATCAGGGGAGTCTAGAAGATGCCTGTTTTCACCTGTATATCACCTGACAGATAGTGATGTGAATGATTAAATGGAACAGTCAATCTTCTTTCGAGCAAAAAAGGCCCATAAGTACCTTATCTGGTATGGATCTTATTTGTTAACCAAATCCTCGTGACTGTTTTCTGGATTAATCCCTGAAGTCCTGCAATCTTGCTTTTTTACTTTGTGTGTGTGTGTGGGGGGGGGCATAGGGAGTGGTATTATAAAAAACAGTTTTACAATGCCACTCGCTATAGGTAAAACCATTTCTAGGCAGTGTCTGCAAAAATAAATAAATACATCCATACATTTTTAAAAAATGAAAAGACTTTAGTATGATAAAACATTAATAAATGTCAGCATTGAAGCAAACACTCTAATTTTCCAGCCCAAATACACTAAAAACAAAGATAGATTTAACTATCAGTTAAAACCAATTAAAAGTAGTCTACGCACCCACGTATGTTAAAAAAGCCACAGTAAACAAACAGATAACTACAGAATCTGTGGGTGGCATTTCTTGTTCTGCTGAACCATTTGCTTTCCCTTGGAGTCACTCTCATAAATCAAGCTGGCCTTAGCAGAAAGGTCATCGAACTTCACCTTGTAACCCCACTTACTTTGGCAGATTCAGAAGCTTTTTATTGAGTCTACGAGAGAAAAGGCCTTTTCAGCACAACTGTTTATCGTGAGCAAAAAGGATGACCAAGCTGTCCCCACCACCACCACTTGCATCATAACCATATCTGACACTGTGTCTCTCCACCCCACCCCACACAAAAACTCATCCCGATTTAACTGTGGTATTGACATGTGAAGAAAAGCACAATCAAGGTCCTGCATTGGTCTTGCAACTTCCTAGTAATTTAACATGGCCTCAGTTAGGACCGGGTGTAGATGAAAAGTTGCAAGCTTGGTGAAGGCCTATAATGAGACAGCTTGAAGCGATTGCTTTGTCTGGCCAAGTGGATAACTGGCAGTGAGGCAAGCAGATGGTTAGAGACTAAACATGTGGTATCAATATGACAAAGAAAGGCTGTGGAGAGGGGGAGAATACATGCTCCTAGCACCTTTAGGTCTACAAAGTTACATACATCCCTTTTGATATGGTTCTTGTTTTCCATCACTGGCAGAACCCCTGTTGTGCAGTTATGCAAAAGGTGTGCGTTTTTAGTGGCAAAATGCCATTGGGTAAGAAATCTCCTTAGGCATTATCTGTGACTCACTATATAACAGAAAATGCTTACAGAGATTTCTTAACTGACAGCAATTCACCACTAAAATTCATGCCTTTCATGTAACTGAGCAACAGGATTTTGGCCACTGTGTCCTCTGAAGCATAATCAGAGGTAGGTGTTTCTTTTTCTCTTATAATGCTAAAAGCCAAGGTGATGAATGAAACCGAAGGGTGAAAGATTTAGAGCTGATCAAAAGAAGGACTTCCTCACATGGAGCATAGATAACACTGTAATGTTCCTTCCTGGGTGATGTGGTGATGATCACCAGTTTAGACCGTTTATAGTGTTTGTAAACAAAACCCAACTAAAACCAAACCCTGACCTGCAGGTTGGTGTGGCAAGGAAGGAGCTCTTTTTTCAGTTGAAATCTAGGGCAAAAGTAGCAATTTTCAGGAGTCCTGGCCCTTCTTTTCTGCTCCTGATCTCACTTGGGGTGTATCATTGACTTTCTTGAAACTCTGAAGAATCAGTCAGCAGGGGTGACCTCAGCTGAGCTGCAGAGCTCTTCTGAAAGCTTGAAAAGATTGTAAAGGTTCTTTCGGTTCTGGCAGACTTAGTCTGTTATGTTTTGTCCAAGTCCCGGCTATTATCTTTATGTCTGTGTTTGACACAGTTTTCCTGAAGTTGTGACAGGTTAAATTTAGAAGAAGACCCTAGGGAAGATAAACATTGTTAATATTTTACTTTGCTAACAATAACTGAAATAAAGAGTACTCTTTATTTCATGAACATGCTGTACCTGGTAGTAATGATTACAAAAATATATGTTCATTTGTGTCTGGAAAGCTACAGGTTCAATTTGTTGCACCAGTTTTCAGTGAATAGTGTCCTTTGCATGGTTTTTTTCTAACTGTAGAAACCAAAACTTCTGTTACTTCTTTCTGATGACCTTGTACAGACATACAGTACTTTCTGTTCCTCAGATTAGGCATCCTTCAGTCTCTAGAGACTATGGTAACATGCTCTGTATGGAGGACTTGGAACAGCGTCTAGCGTGACTGAGAAGGCCAATTTGAGGGCCCCCTGTCCAGTTCCCTGATTTTGCTGGTTTCCGGACTGCCTCTTTGCCTCGGCCTACTAACCAAGTGTCTCTTCAAAATGGGAGATGCCATGATGCACCGCCTGCCTCCAGGCTGATTGCTCGGATGTCAAAGTTTCCCATCTGTTGAGGTCCATTCCTAAGGCCTTCAGATCCCACTTTCAGATATCCTTGTATCACAGCTGTGGTCCCCTCTGGGGCGATTTTCGTCCACTAATTCTCCATACAGGAGATATTTTGGAATTCGACCATCAGCCATTCTCACGACATGCCCAAGCCAACATAGACGTTGCTGTTTCAGAGGAGTGTACTCAGGACACAGGCTCTATAGATCTGGATCTTGGTATATGCCGTCAGCTTCTTATTAAGCCATACTCTCTTTGTGAGTCTAGAGAACATGGTAGCTGCTTTGCCAATGCATTTATCCAGCTCAACATCTAGGGAAAGGGTGTCAGAGATTGTTGAGCCAAGGTACATAAAGTCATGAACAACCTCCAATTCTTGTGTGGAGATGGTAAAGAGGGAGGTGAGTCCACGCCCTGGCCCATGACTTGTGTTTCCTTCAGGCTGATTGTTAATTCAAAGTCTTGCCAGGCCTTGCCAGAATGATCCATGAGTTGTTGGCGGTCTTCAGCAGAATGGGGAACAACAGCTGCATCATCAGTGAACAGGAAGTCCCACATGCATTTCATTTGGATTTTGGTCTTCGCTCTCAATCTAGAGAGATTAAAGAGCTTTCCATCTGATCTAGACCAGAGATAAGACCTTTTGTTGCAGTCCCAAAGGTGTGCTTTAGCATGACAACAAAAAAAGATCCCAGACAGGGTTGGCGCAAGGACAGAGCCCTGTTTCACTCTGCTTCGGATGTCAAAGTGATCTGATGTTGAGCCATCAAAAACTACAGTGCCCTTCATTTCCTCATGAAAGGACCTGATGATGTTAAGGAGTCAAGGTGGACATCCAACCTTGGGAAGTATTTTAAAAAGGCCGTCCCTGCTAACCAAATCAAAGGCCTTTGTAAGATCCATGAAGGCCACAAAGAGTGGCTGTTGTTGTTCCCTGCATTTCTCCTTCCACTGTCTGAGGGAAAATACCATGTCAGTGGTGGATCAATTAGCTCAAAATCCACACTGTGATTCAGGATAGCCTCTGTCTGCAAGCACCTGGAGTCTCTTCAGAACAACACGGACAAGCAGCTTCCCTACAACCCTGAGAAGAGAGATGCCATGGTAGTTATTGCAGTTGCCTGTGTTGCCTTATTTCTTGTACAATGTGATGATGTTTGCATCCTTCATATCCTGTGGTACTCCATCTTCCCTCCAGCAAAGACAAAAGATTTCATACAGCTCGGTGGTGATGATCTCTCTACAGCACTTCAGAACTTCAGCTGAAGGGATGTTCCTCACATATCTGCATTATTTGAATGTTACTTTATTATTATTTCCCCCCCCCATCATCTCCAAATCTGAGACTGTCCATGCCTTCACAGTTCTGTTAGCTGCTTTCTCACTTCATTTAAAATCTTTGCTCTCTCTTTTCCCAGCATGTGTTCAGCTTGGACCCAACAAGCATAGAAAGTGGCCGAGGCAGATGTCCTCATGAGCCCAACAGGGCTTTTGCAAGCACTTTCATTGGTAAGTGTCAAATAGATTGACAGAGGTCTTGCGCTGTAATAGTAGAGCAACGGCCAATTACTTATTTCTTTGTTGCTGCAGTTACTTTTTTGGTATTTGTTGTTGTTGGCCAAGGCATCCAAAACATTTTATGATTTAAAATACTAAACTGAACAAGCTTATCAAAACAGCTATCTGGCCAGAGCTGCTTGGTGGTAGTTCTCCTTCGGGGCTAGCTGTCCCCATCTGTCCAGTAGTGTTGAGGGATAGCTGGAAGGAATCACCCATTGGATTAATCAGGGTTGGCATGGCTACAGAAGTGATAGTCACCAGCCAGCAGTCAAGAAGAAGCCCTAGTCAGGCTTTCTTGACCTGTTCAGAACGAATTCCTTCCTGATGCTCAATGAAATACAAGGAAGGAAAAGAAGAAAGGCAGGATCCGCAGACCTAGAGCAGCGCAAGCATCTGCATTCCCATTTCTCCATCACTAGCACTCAGTACTGCTCAGAAACCTGCAAAAGGGAGGGGTGAGCTTGTGAGAAGGGCAGGCAAAGTATCTTGCCCAGTGGCAGCTTGGACCGGAGTTGCCTGCCTGTTTTTTCATAGCTTTTTCATGTCCATGTGACAGCTTCATGTGCTAGCTAGGCTGTATGCTCATTAATAATAATGATCATGTGCCATCCAGTTTTCCAGGTACTCAGAAATCATTTACCATTTCCTTCTGGGGGCGCCCTGGGACTTTGCAGCTTGCCCTAGTTACACAGGCGGGCTCTACTCATAGTAGGCACTGTGGGGGATTAAACTCCCAACCTCTAGCTCTTCAGCCAGATATGTAAACCATTTAGCTCTTCAGCCATATCATATGCTCATTAGATGTATGAAATCACATACAAAATGAGAAGAAAATGAGAGGCTGACTACATGACAGTTTAGCCCACTGTTTCATGGGCTGATTCATTCTTAAAGACAGTGATCAGATGTCATCTTTGCTAGAGAACACCTTTCTGAGCCCCTATATACTTGAATTTTGGTACACGATTTTGGATTGCTCTGGTGTGGATGGATTCCAGCGTGTGTGATCACTGCAAGCAAGCCAAAGCAAGCCTTCTGGTTTGAATTTGCCAACATCGTGAAGTGGCCTAATAAGTGAGCCACTTCAGGATATTGGCACTTCCTCTGCTCTTTGGCAGAGGGGCAGGGGAAGTGATTTTTAAAGATGGTGTAATCGAAAATTGTTTAAAAGACCAGTTGAGAATCTGCCTCAATCGAGTCTGCTGCAGCAGATTCAGCTGCTGGCAGTTTCTTGACTGGCTCTTTAAGACAAGGCAAAGAAAAGTGTTTTATAGGGTTTTTTTTAAAGGTATAACTGATACAATGCATTAGTTAAGGCCTACTACACAGTCCTGGAAGAAAATTCCCTTCCTCTGGCTCTCTGCTGAAAGAGGTGTTTGATTTGCCAATACTCTGAAGTGCCTTGCTTATTAAGCTACTTCACAATGTCAGAAATTGAAGGAGCCAGACCAGATAGGGTCGCTTGAGTTCCATCTATGCTATCTGGATGTGAGAATTGCACCATATGATTTTATCACACCAACCCCCAACCCTGAGTGACCTTATTTAGCCTGCACCAACTCGCTCAAAAAAAAAAAAAAAAGCCTGTGCCGTCTCCTGGCATCTTAAAGACTAAGACATTTCTTATGACTATAAGCATGTCTAGTCATGAACCAGAGTCCACTTGCATGTTGAATTTTGCCATAATAAATGTGTTAGCTTTTAGTGTTCTACTACAGTGGTTCTTAACCTTTGTTACTCGGATGTTTTTGAACTGCAACTCCCAGAAACCCCAGCCAGCACAGTTGGTGGTGAAGGCTTCTGGGAGTTGGAGTCCAAAACTCCTGAGTAACCCAAGGTTAAGAACCAGTGTTCTACTAGATACTGCAGTTTTCTTGCAACTGGAAATTCTCAGAAAACATGGCGCCGTTCTGAAACCTTTCAGGACTGCCGTGTTGATGAGTCCTCTCATATGACAGCAAGTCTTCTGAATTCTTGTATAGTTGCATCAAGTAAGTACCTGGTTTTTCGTTGTAGATTTGCAGCTGCACAGTTCCCATGTTTTGTGAGAACTGGTATAGTAGCCAAAAACATGAGCTGGGAGCTGAGTAGGTCCCAAGTTCCATTCTTGCTGCTGCTACTAATTAACTAGGTCACATTAGGCAGAACATTGCTTCCAAGCCTCACCCTTTGCTCTACAAATCCTGACTTGTAATAAGACAATAACGATATGCAGAAAGTATTTTTGAATACAGAAATATACTTTGTAGTGCTAAGCATAATTCTTAATACACTCATAAACACGGGCATTTTGCATGTGAGATTTTATTGTTTCTGTGGGATTTTCTTTTCTAGGTGGAGATTTGTACACTGGACTAACTGCAGATTTCTTGGGCAGGGATTCTGTGATCTTCCGAACCATGGGGCACCGCTCCTCTCTGCGCACTGAGATGGACCAGAGGCTGCTTAACGGTAGGAGAAATTTAGGTAACTTCACCCAGCCAAAGAGCACATGGCTCTGTGGTTGTTGTTACATGTCCTGTTGGGAAGAAGGAAAATGCCTTCATTTGGGAGCAGCAACTCTAAGTATTTGGGGAACTCGGTCATGACAAACATTTAAGGAAAGTCTGGTGCAAATGGAAAGGAGGAGGTCAGGGTAAAGTTTATCGAGCACAACAGTCAATGCAAAAGGTAAGGTTAATGAGTGAAAGGAAGAATGGGAGGTATGATAGAGGCCAGGACTATAAGGAATTTGTGCTTGAAAATTAAGAGTGATGCTGGGATGTGTTTATACAACTAAGCGCCTTTTAGTATGTGCTTCTTGATAGGAAGAAACCCTATATGCAGCCTCTCTTGGCAGTGGTCTCTACTAGCTCTGCCTAGACTGAATCTGCAAAGATTTGCATCTTCTGGGGCACAGCTGGAGAACATCTGGCCCATCAGATGTTGTTGGGCTCAGTTTGCCCTCAACCCAAGCCAAGAGCTGAAGGATGATAGGAGTTGTACTTCAATAATATCTGGAGAGCCACAGATTCTTCCCCCCTCCCCATTTTATGGTCCTTGCCAAACTTCAAAATGCTTCTGTTGTTCTCTTTTCTAACATGCCCTACCTACGACCCGTCACACAGCACCCAAGTTTGTTGCTGCTTATTTGATCCCAGACAATGATGATCGGGATAATGACAAAGTTTACTTCTTCTTCACTGAGAAATCAGCCGAGTCTGACGGCAAAGGACGTGCCATCTTTAGCCGTGTAGGGCGGATCTGTGTGGTGAGTCTGTGGGGCTATTTTTGTGATCAGCCTTGTACTGGGAATTGAATGTATGGGTCACATTTAGATTTCCTTAGAAATTTCCCTGGAGACTTAGCTCATAAGTGAAAAAGACACATTCTATAGCATTGATTAAAGTCTCTTTGAAAAGCTTGCACTTTGGAGTTAAAAGCAGAACAAACATGTCATCCGAGATATCAGAGATATCAGAGCCCAGTCAGGTCTGCTGCCCTTTGGAGGGCTCAGAACTCAGAAACAATGGCCTAGATTTATAAGTGTTAAACATTAAGCTCATAATAAAATCACGAACTAATATATCCAATGAAGAATGTTTTGAAAGTAACATTTTCACGTGCCTTCTAAAATATCATTTCAAAAAAATATTAGATGCATTCATCTTGTCATACACAAAAGGAACAATGTTAATATTATCACATGAAATCTGTTGTGTTGGTCTTGGGTGGGCTTAAGATAGGGGGGAGACCAATCTCTAGGGAATGTTTTAAAAATAAAATCAAATTTAAAAAGCGCTTTCAAGGAGGAAAATGTGTTTGTTTCAAAAAAAAAAACCAACCCTCCTCTACTCCGCCCCCCCCCCGTTCAGTTGGCTGTAGCTTCATAATAGCCCTCCTCCTTCTTTTTAGTAACAATCAAGCTGTTACACAGCCAGCTGGATTTGGGGATGTGACAAGGTCCTTATTACTAGAAAAATTGATCAGAATAACAACAAAAAAAATAGTGGGCGGGGTGGTGGGGAACACTGGAGTGGGATTGTTTGGTGCAAAGTACTCTCTCTGAAATGATCCCCAGCCTTCTGTGGTCATTGTGTCCTGCCTGAATGTTAAAAAACAAACAAACCCAAGAACTTCCTGCTCAGCCTCTGCAGCTTATTTATTTATTTATTTACTAGTTCTGAACATCATCAAACCAAGAGGGTTTATTTTACGGGAGATGGGGTGGTGGTGAGGGGATTGCATGTTTACAAATTCCTAAACCAGGGCCAAAACGATGTTGGATCAGCTCTGGTGTCTATTGCACTGAACTCTGAAACCAGAGCCGTTCCTCCATTGCCTTTGGTTCCTGATGCACAGCATTGTGCGGAGTAGGAAGTCTGTTTGGCACATAGAGCGTCTTTAAAGCACTTCAATCAGGACCTCATCATCTGTAGTGCTTGGCTTATGAGGGCTGTATAAATCTCTCACAACTGTGGTTGTTTGTTTTGCAGCCAAAGCGAGGAGCATGGTTTTCTTCTTTCTCATGATTCTCTTTAATGTGGTTGGCAATAGGAGGGATGAGTCTCTTGAAGCCTTTGAATTCTTCACTCTTTCATCCAAGTGGAAATTCTCCAGATATCCATTCAATTCTCTTTTGATTTCCGTTTTCCCCCTAGATTTCTCTCTCCGCTCCACTGCTATTTCAAGAGCAAAACACACACATATCACCCACTTAAAAATGCCAGCAAAGTTCCTTGACATCAGGTCCATTTCTCTCTCCTAGATTCCAGTCCATCAGCTGCATTGCTGAATTGAGCTAATGATTTAGTTTTAACGATCTAGCTGGACAAATAATGAAGGAGATGATGCTGATGACAGGGGAGGATTTTCCTTTCTCCATAGCTCCGATATATTCATTAATGCTGATGAAGTATTAATGTATTAGTATCAGAGGGATCACTTTCCAGATTATGGTTTTATGTCACAAATATGTTATTCTGTGCTGTCAAGTTGCTTTTGGCTTATGGTGATCCTGTGAGTTATTGACATCCAAAAAGACCTCTCAATAATGGCCCTGTTCAGTTCTCATAAACTCAAGGTTGTGGCTGCCTTTATTAAGTCAATGCACCTCTTATTTGGTGTTCCTTTTTTTCTGCCACCTCCAACTCTGTGAATAATCATGGCACCATTACCCTCTCCTTCGCTTATCTAAGATGAATGGAACCCCTACTTTCCAACAGATGGAAAGGATTTTGCTGAGGGTCTGTCCCTTTTCTTACGCCCAAAAATGCAATAATAAAAGAAAAAGCCCAAAATGTTCCAAGTCTTGGTCTTTCTTTCCCTCTCTTAATAGGGACATTTTTTTGGTATGTCAACCAAGCAGAAGGTGATGGTCAGACTGGAATGAAACTTCATTACATCTTAAATGGAAAGAGTGCAGCACATTCAACAAAGTTGATGCAAGTTATAAAAATGACAGAGATGGGTCTCTGGATCCAACTCAGAAATTACAAAACTAGTAAAAGAAACAAGGAAGTACATGTAGGCATTTCTAGATACTCAGCACAGGCAAATAAAATCAAAATCCATGACATGACTAGCTTATTAAAAGCCCTAATTCTACTTGTGATATCTTGTTGTCTTGCATCTTCCATTTTCCTAGAGATCAGCTCTCCCTCATGGCCAGCACCAGTGAAAAGCTAAGGCTTCCCTGGAGGCCCCAGTCATGGAGCCCCAGAAAAGCTCAGATCAGTCATCCTTTGTTCTGGGATTGGCAGGCATTTTGCATCTTGGTAAGGCAAGAGAAAGGTGTTCCTATTTGCATCACTTTCATTTCCAAGAGGGCAACTGGAAAATTTTTCTCTCTCTTTTTTTTAATTGAGTGCCTGTATGTGTGAATGTTCCATGGCTGTCCTGAGCCTGTCATTTGAGTGGAATAGGTCACATGAGCGCTACGTGAGCTCCTTTACTCTTCTTATACACCTCCTGTTGGATTGTATTTTTGCATCATTTTGGCTTTTTCTTTTTTCACTGTTCTTGCCTGTGCTCCAGACGGGTTAGGTGACAAACATGGCACACTGGGCAGTGATCAGCTCCTCTACCCACTAGGACAGTTAAACTGCTAATTAGGGGCATTCCTTTCCCTTTCAGCAAATACTTTTGCTGAGTAAATTTGAGTGAATTGCACAGTTCCTGGCTTGGGGGAACAGGAAAAAGAAAGGAAGGACGGAAACTTGTTGGACCTTTGCCTGCACCCGGGAGATGGAACAGTAGTTGGTGGCACTGTCATTTCCCAGTCAGAACCTTTTATTTTCCCTTATTCATATTCTTTCACTATTCGGACCCAGACAGACACACACAGATGCTTCTGGATATTTGGGTACAAATTGACTTTAAAATAATTGGTTGCTTATGGATTTTGACAACTCCTTCATAACTTCTGTGATTATCTCAAAGTATCACATAAGCGAGTGCTGATAGCCACTTCAATTTCCCTAACTGACATAAGTCCAAAAAGCAGGAAGTATACAAACGTCAGTCACAAACTTAATGCAACATTGTTAGTGTTCTTTGGATCACTTGTGAATAAGGTTGTCATGCAATTAATTTGGGACACTTAATCTAATATGTCCACTAACTTTCAGTACTGGTACAGTAATACTTGAAAGCCAGTGCAGTGTAGTAGATAGTGTGTCAGTCTGTGATTCAGGGTCCTTGGCTTAATTCCCAAGATCCAACTCTGTGAATAATCATGGCACCATTTCCCTCTCCTTTATTTATCTAAGATGAATGGAACCCCTTAAATATTCACATATCTCAGAAAACCTACCAGGGTGTCTATACTTCAGAAACAACTTGATGGCAGGTAGCACATTAATACGTATGCCGTAGATGGCTCATGACTAGACTGAAGGTGCTCTGCTCCTGGAATTTGGGGGTAACAATGCTCCTGCTTGATCTATGAGCAGGCCTTAACTTCTGTCATATATTTTCATCATCATGTTTTTACTATGTAGGTTTTGAGTTTTTTAAAAAGATGAAAGTAATAGAAGCATACCATTTGCAAAGTTACCCACAACAGCAGTAAAGCTCATTGACTAAAATTGAAAAAAGAAAATAGAAATATCATTTTCACAGTTGATACAACCTTCTTGTTTTCTAAGTCTTGGAACAGAGACATATTGGAGTAGGTATCCCTTGAACAAGAACTCCAGAGACATGATGCTGTAACCAAGAAAGCTGTGGTCCTTATTACTGCCTAATTAGATCTGTATTGATGGTAGATGGTGGAAGAGAGAGGTTGCTTTTGAAGAAAGAGCTGGAGAAGAAACACTAGGTAGGCACCAAAGAACAGTATACATATAAAATTTCGATTCTTGCTTACTTGTTGAGAGAGGCTCCTTGTCCATAAATGTGTATTGGATACGCATCACAGCACATCATATACTTGGAATGTTGATCAGAATCTCTACCATATGGAGACTGTGCAGGTCTACTCTCTAATTTTTTTCATCTTCTCTTAGAGTACCATTTGGCTGAGATTGCTCTAGTAATGTTGGCTAAGAGATCTCTAAAACATGCTCTTTCATTCCTCTTCTTCTTTTTGTCTGCTGGGATCCTACAGCTGTTGTTCTCACTGTGGGAGGGACATGACCAGATCAACACCGAGATGAATTAGCTTCACTTTTGCATGTCACGAAGCCTCATAGTTAGTGATGTTCCATTGCTATGCTGATGGCCAAAAATGTTAATGTAAACCACCTAGGTTTGTCCTTCGTGTGCATATGTGTTAGTAAGAAGTCACTATCTACAAAGCTAAAGCTGTTTGAATGTGAAATCCCATTTCTCATACTTCTCAGCAACTTTTCTTTTGGGGGACTTCTTTTCGTTAATTCATTGCCCCTCTCTTTGCCATTTGGGGATGCTTTGCAAAATATGCTAAAGAGAGTTAATCCACCCCCGAAATTCTTCCGAAAATACATATCATTGTCCATTTTCCCCCTTTAGCTTTTCACAATACAGCTTTTATAAATTCTACCCAAATTTCATTGAACCTATTAATCTTTAGTTCTCCTTTTTTTAACTTAATTTCTGAAATCAATTAATCATTAACTGCTGTATTCCATACTTCATTGCACCACTCTTGCAGCTGAAAATCCCAATTCTGCTTCCAATTTTTTCACTTGAAATTGAGCTGCATTTATCAAATTCATCACCATTTCTTTTTTTTTTTTTAATTGTTCACATCACAATTTTCTATCATCAATAGCAATGCTTTTTTTGGAC